GTTCAGTGTAATTTAAAAACGGGACCTCTCATTTGTTGTAAGTCACAATATAGTAAATATCTATTTGTAATTTTACCATTATTCCCTCTTTTATGTGTCAATAGGAAACAAAAGACTTTCGACCGGCTGGGATTCCGCCTGACTCGAGTTCCTCGCCGGTTGAACGTCCTTGAGACGTATAAAAACTCTCACCTCTGAGGGGTTTTCCGGTGAAGAAGCCCTGATGCTTAAGTTGGCACTGTGAAGAAGATGAAGTGTTGTATGTATGTAGAGAATAATGAGAATGTAATATGATAATAGACATATAGGAGATAATACCTTGTTCTCCAAGATTGCCCGAGTTGGCTGCCCGAATTGTCCGTTCGTACTGTGCGAACAGCCTATTTCTGTTAAGCCATGTGGCCCTTTCCGCGTGTGGCTCTTATATGATGATATTTCTTCTTATTCATTCGTTTTTCTCATTAGACCGCCTAATGGTGCGACCAACTCGAATCCCGTTTTAGGTAGAATGATGCATGTACTGAGCCTAATTGTTGTCCTTCTCGTCAATCATACGACCAATCATAAATGATTGGTCGTACGATCAACAGCCGATCTGAAATTGTTTTAATCACATGATACAAAACATGAAATGATTGGTTTTGCAGATGCAAGATATTTATGAGACCCACATAAGGTAATATTTCAAACCGACTACGTTTTCACAATTGGTGGAACTGCATTTTCTTGGCTTTCTCAGAAACAGACATTAGTTACTAAATCTTCGAACCATGTTAAGATCATTGCACTTCATGAAGCAATTAGGGAAAGCGTCTTACTCAGAAACATGACTCAAAATATTCAACAAACCAGTGGATTATCAAATAATAAAGGTCTGACGCTGATATTCGATGACAATGCAACATGTGTCGCTCAACCAAAGAAGGATACAATAAGAGTGATAGAGTATAGAAGAACTAAACATATCTCGCCAAAGTTCTTCTCATATATTCAAGAGCTTGAAAGGAGCAAATAAATCAAAATTCAATACATTCGATCAAACGATAATGCAGTAGATTTATTTACAAAGACGCTTCTGACTACAACATTTCGAAAGCACGTCAACAACTGGAGACATCTTCGAATAACTTGGAGGGGAGCATGTACGGTTGTACTCTTTTTTCCTTATCTCGTTTTTTTCTCATAGAATTTTTTCGGATAGAGTTTTTAATAAGGCAACATAAACGCACATTTTTATAGTAGTAATTCCAGGGAGAGTGTTGTAAATAAATGGAGTTGAACCACTATAAAAAAATCTGAATACTGAAACGATGGGCATGAATAATAAGATGATACGGTGATCTGACGAGTATAAATATGAGTTGACCAAATTATTGTGTACATAATTTTGTAAAGTGTGAATAAAAGTTGTTTATAAAAAGCAACCCAAATAAAATGAAAAAAATGCACTTATAAAAAAAGAAATTTTTGATTATAATTTATACAGATTTTCATATTGAGTTCTTTATTATCCCCGCAATTATAACAATGGAACAATTCCCTCGACTTCTATAAGTTTCAACCGACGAACTAAACACATGGACGCACCCACATAGAGCAGCTGCACGGGAAAGAAGAAGCCAATGCCTCAATCTCTCCACCAAATCCTACGATAGCCACGAAAACATGAACTAGCTGTTCATATCTCAACATATATGCGACTATCAGGCTCACTTTTGGACAGACGACGCTGATTACCTTTGTTCTTACTGATTGAATCTTATACTGGACGATTCTTTCTTTATGGTAAGCTAATTTCTTATCTCCCCCCCCAGTTGCTCCAATTCCGTTTATTCCTCTTTAATCGTATTCGATTTCATCATATTATTCCCCTGTAAAAGTTAATTGTATCCCAATTGCTGACGAACCACAATTTAATAGGTAAATTTTACAATTTAAATTCCAATTTCAATTGGGATACCAGAAGCTTGACGTTAATGTTGTGCTAGTTTCTGGTTTTCAACTCTGATTATAATGCCGAATGGTTTCTCCATAGTCTATTTTGTCGCCATTACGCGAAAAAAATTGAATCTTTACAGCATTGCTTATTGAGATCTAATAAATTTCTTGGTAGTTTATGTTTTTTTCAGGATTCTTTGACGATTTATTGAGCCCTTCAAGGTTGCTTTACAGTTGATTGAGTTAGATACTGCAATCAAGAAATTTCTCATCAATTATGGCGTCTGTACAGTCTCCAAAGTCTGTGTGGACCAGGAAACAGCAATGCCCGTGTGGCGATTGGAAATGTTTCGCAACATACGATGCGGATTTGAACAAGACCGATTCAGGACCCCAATCAGTCAAAAACGACTCAACTCCAGTAGAAGGCATGATTGCCCCATATGTAGGGATGATTTTCAAGACTGACGACGAGGCATTCGAGTATTATGGGAATTTCGCAAGAAAAAACGGGTTCTCGATTAGAAAGGAGAGGTCGAGGTTGAGTCCCCAGTTGGGCGTCTACAAAAGGGATTTTGTCTGCTACAGGTCTGGTTTTGCACCCGCTCGAAAAAAACAGACGGGTGACCATCAAAGGGACAGAAAATCTGTCCGTTGTGGCTGTGATGCTAAAATGTACCTTTCCAAGGAAGTTGTGAATGGGAATTCTCAGTGGTTTGTGGTGCAATTTAGCAACATACACAATCACGAGCTCTTGGAGGACGAACAAGTTCGTCTGCTGCCGGCTTATCGTAAAATTCGAGAGGCGGATCAAGAAAGAATACTTCTTCTCTCGAAAGCCGGTTTTCCGATTCACCGGATAGTGAAGGTGCTTGAAGTGGAAAAGGGAATCGAGGGAGGACAACTGTCTTTTCTCGAGAGAGATGTGAGGAATTTCATCCAGAACAGGAAGAAGGTCGTTCAGGAGAACGATGCTTTGTTGAACGAGAAAAGGGAAAATAACTTGCTCGATCTTCTTGAGGCATGCCGGGCGAATAAAGAGTCTGACCCGTACTTTGTTTACGATGTTGCCCTTGATGAAAACGAAAAGGTTGAGAATATTGCTTGGTCTTTCGGAGATTCTGTCCGTGCTTATGATGTGTTTGGTGATGTCGTTTACTTTGACTCCATGTATCGTTTGATGAGTTACGGAATGCATTTTGGAGCGTGGCTCGGGATAAGCAATCATGGGAAAATTCTCCTGTTTGGGTGTGTTTTGTTGCAAGACGAGAACCCAAGGGTGTTTTCTTGGGCATTACAGGTGTTCTATTGAAACTTCTTTTGGCTTTTTTGTTCGTTCTTGTTTCGTATGCTTTTTGTGTGCTGATTTTGTTCAGTGCTGCTCTAGGCTTTTCTCCGGTTTATGAAAGGAAGGCCTCCGCAGACGATAATAACGGATGTTGACATTGGTCTAAGAGAAGCCATACGAAGTGAGCTGAAAAATACAAAGCACACTATTCCTTTACACAATATACTGCCTAGAATATCCAGCTGGTTTTCGGCTCCGCTTGACCTGAGGTTTCAGGAATTTAAATACGAGTTTGAAAAGCTGTGTCATCTAGAAAATGCCGATGAATTTGAATTTCGGTGGAATCAGATGATTTCCCACTTTGAAATCAATTCGGATAAGCACATAGCTTTACTCAATTCCTTCCGCACGTGTTGGGCTTTATCTTATGCAAGGGGTTTCTTTCTTGCAAGAATGGATTCTACATCTTATCGTAAATCAGTCGATGCATTTTTAATAGAAATAATCAATACCCAAACATGTTTGCGTGGATTAATGGAGCAGGTATTTTTTTTACATCATCATCCATTTCGAGAAGTTTTCATTCACATCTGCACTTTTGTAACATTGTTTGAACTTGGAAATCCCGTTTTGTAGGTGGCGTTATTATCAAATTATAGAACTCTATCAAATGAAGAAGCACAGTACTCACCTCTTAAAACATGCTTACCTATCGAAGAGCATGCGCGTGGTATTCTCACACCTTTTGCGTTTAACGGGATACAAAATGAGATGGTTTTATCATTGCAATACGCAGCATCAGAAATGACAAACGGATCGTTTCTTGTGAGCCATTTCCAGAAAGTTGAAGGAGAGCGCCTAGTTATATGGATGCCCGAAGACGAGCAAATTCACTGCTCTTGCAAGGAATTCGAGTCGAGTGGAATTTTATGCAGGCATGCCCTTAGGGTACTTTTGTTCAAGAACTATTTCCAACTTCCGAGAAAATACCTTTTGAGTCGATGGAGTCAAGAGAGCTCACTTTTTGGCGACATTGAACAACAAAGTAATGTGAATATGAAGGACGAATGGTATACGGAGTTCAATTCTCTTACAGGGACGTTGTTTTCTGAAGCAATGCTATCTAAAGAGAGATCTGATTTTGTTCACAGGGAACTTAAGAAGGAGCTCACGAGGCTTATTGCTCAAGTGAGAGACTTGCCACCTGCCAATGCTGTTGTCATGGACATTAGTTTTTCATCCACTGTAGTCTGAGCTATCTTGTTAGTGAAACTGTAGCTGTTATAAGAACTTAGATTACTTTTGCAGGAAGAAAGGGCATCGCATGAAGAAAGTGTAAATATTTTGGTGGGTTTATACTTTATAAATACAGTAGAATCGTTGTACTTGAGTTGGAAAAATTGTCAGAATGATTAAAGATTGGGGGATACTGTCATATGAAGGTACGATGGCTCTTTGTGAATTGTGAGTTTTCATCTTGTAAATGATGTAAGATGAGTTCAAAAAATCGAGAATTGGAATTTCAAGTGTTGGTATTAAGAGCATCTCCAATGGAAATTGTGTTATATGACATGGAGAAAGGGAATTAAAGTTTTTTGTCTCCAATGGTTAGGGCTAATTATGATGTCAATTGTGATGTGTAAAATTGTAATTAGTTGAAGAAAAGAGATAAATTAAATAAATAATATAATATATAATAGAAGTTGTTTAGAAAGACTTCTACATCTAGAAAACCTTCTAGACAATTTTCATGCCACGTAAGATTTTTTATGCCATGTGGCAATAAAGTAGAGCAAATGAAAATACCATTGGAGATGCTCTTAGTTAGCAGTTTATACACGGCTTCTTATTTACATTATATGAACTATTTATTCACTCATATAAGTTTAACTATTCATCTCTTTCAATCACCAATTTTCCCATTTTTACATCAAATCAACTATAATCATTGTATTTTAAATATTACTTTAGTATAAACTAAAAATTTCAATCAAACCTAACTCACCCAACTTTTTCATAAGTTTAAACAGAAAAACAATCAAAACCAAAATATCCAATAAAAAATTTTATCCAAGCATTTGATAAATGAACATGAAGTTTTGAAGATTTCTTCTGATTGAAAACATGGCTGATAAATAAGCCCTGCATTTAAAAGAAAAAAGAAACACAATTTTAAGAGTCTCAATCTCAATCTTTCAACGCCCGACAAATTACAGAATTTGCAGGGAAATCCAATCTATTCCTTCACCGTTGAAGCCTGCCCGCCGGATTTCCCTAGTCAAACTACTTTTTTCCCTTTACCATTTTTCGCCACATTCCCCCTGCTTTTATCCTGAGCCCTTCCTTCTTTCTCTTGAATCTTCAGCAGCTGTTCCAACTGTAAATCCTCCACATTTTTCTTGCTGCCCCAAGAAGACGAGGGAACATTGCTAGTCGCAATTGCAAAATTATTATTTTTAGCATAAGGCAGATGAACTGTCGATTGTGGATTTAAGTATGAGTTCAGGAACGGAAAAATGTCGGGCTTGGGCTTGACATCCACCCATTGGTCGTTGACCCAGTCTTTTGAAACTCTTAAGTCTTTTCTATCTAAGAACAAAAAACTGTTCTCCCCTGCCAGACAGTAATCCCATTTCAAATAATAGCAGTATGTATTGATTTAAAATAGCATTATAAAAATTAAGAACTCGGAAAATATTAACGGCCAATATTGAAGCATTAACGACCCATGTTGCATGTACCGCTATACGATGCTAATTTCAATCCTGATGCTTAGTATACGTTCATAGCGATGTTACTCTAAAAATTAATTCACTCGTTAAAATTAGCATTATACAATTAAAGATAACATATACACACAGGACCTGGTTCATATGTGAACTACATCCTAAATTCCTAATTGTATGTATGCATGTATGTATGTATCTACAAGCATTTGGGGCAATCATTGTTGAAAAAGTTCTATTCTCTTGGCTATTTTCAGTTAATAATAACAAATTGGATAGAGAAGAATTTGATTTTGCCTAGATTGGTTAATGATGCATTACCAGGTAAGTAAACTTGAAGGTTCCTATTTGCAGATGTGTCGAGTCCAGTTATGACAGCCTCCCACCACCCATCACACCACCATACATCAACTGCGGTCCCCACCTCAGTTTTGAAACCTGAAGAGTCCTCAACAGGCCATGGTCTCACCGTCAGGCGGCCCCTAGATCTCATTTTCAGTTTATCAGGGTTGGCTACTCTGCCTCTAGCCACCCATTCCTGCAANAAACAGTTGATGTACACAAAACAGAAAACATAGTAGCTAGATATCAGCAAATTTACAAATACTTCCTCAAGGCTATTTTATTTGTTGTTCACTTTGTTCAAGACGTGCTTGGATACAAATATAAAATGGATGTTTTTGTTAACCATGGTTAATTTTCAAAAGGTTAGTATGGTTAATTGTTAGTGAAATTTTGAACTTATATTAAAATAATATTTAAAATAAAACAACTAAAGTTGATTTGACGTAAAAGTAGGAGAAAGATGATGCGAAGTGATGTGTTAATTAAAATTGTGTGAGTGAATTAAAGTTGATGTGATGTGTAAGAATGATTGATTGATATAATTTAAATTTAATTATATTGATAATATTGAGAATAGTGAGGTTGAGTTAAAGTTAAGTTAGATTTTCAGTATGAATTGAGATAATTTATAAACAAACACACTCTCAGTGGCAAGTAAAAAAAAAAAAAAGACGTATCAATGTCCAAATACCTCAAGCTTCCCTGGTCCATCAACGTCGGTCACGTCAAAGTATTGAACCTTGAAGCGCTTTTCTGCAGAATACAAAATTTTGCACCTGAACCAGCAGCCCCGCATGCCGCTGTCCTGAGAGAGTACCTCTACATTCTCACTGCCGCCCACAGGTAGAAGAAGCATATTTTTCCTGCTCGCCAGCTTGCTCCTCAATCTCTCCCGAGCCCGTTCGTTATTGACGGCCTGCGGTTCTGCTGCCATCAACTTTCCTCTGCTCTGTGGGCGGATTTCGAGAGATGCAATGGCCAGCTGGGCCATGTACCCGCGCAGTTTACTCAGACAGAAGGGCCTGACACTGTTGTTCTTGAACTCGCGGTTGCAGACAAAGGTCCTGGGCCCCACGACGTTACATTTGTTGAAATGGCTGGGGACAAGGATGTCGACTGGGCCCGCAATCTGTTTCGTGCTCATCTCCAGCTCAGTAGAGGTCATGAAAACCTCTCTTGAGCGGGGTTTCAGATTGAGAACGAGAGGCTCGATGACCTCCCAGGATAGGAATGGACGCAGCCTGGCCATCTTTTCGCCATTGCGGTCCTCGAACAAGTCCTCCACGTATGCAGGGAATCCTTTGGTCTCGTTTTCGGGGATCCACACGAAGGAATATACCTGTGAATGGGCCCAATGTATTGAGACTAGGGTTGTAAACAAATTGAATTAAAGCGGATACTAAGATATTCGATTCGGATTCGTTTAAATATTCCAGGATTCGAATTCGTATTCGATTCGTACACGAACTCATTTTTTGATTCGTATTCGATTCGTTTAGAATATTCATTCGAATACATACGATTCGATTCAAATTTGTTTTCAGAAAAATATTATAATTAACAAAAAAAGTTGTTATAATTACAAAAATATCGTTTATGTTTTTCCTATCCGATTTGAGATGTTTTTAGGGCAAATTATTAATTTGGATGTTTTTACAAAAATATCGTTTATGTTTTTACTTTTTAGGGCAAATTATTATAAACAAATATTATACTATATATAATTTATAAAATTTATATAATTATCGTTAACGAATCGAATATTAGATAATTTCGAATCGAATAAATACAAATTCGGATTTGGATTCGTTTAATTTTCGAATATAAAACATTATTCGTATTCGAATTCGAATCACGAATATCGAATCGAATAAAAAATATTTCACTTTGTTTACAAGCCTAATTGAGACAAATAGTTGTAGAAACCCAGTTATTGAACAAGACTGGAAGTCAGTTGATTGGACTAACTGAAACATTTGTTCCGCCCTTGGAGAAAGATGGATAGTGCTTCAGCTGCTTGTCGCATAACCAAGCATCACCGGACCACACTGTATCAGAATTTATAGCTGCTGATTGGGAGGATATTTTGATCTGACATCAGAATTGGAGTGAGTGGTATGATGTGAAGAAATATGGAAAGGTTTAGCGAATATATCAGAAAGTTTAGGAACTAGGATTGGATCACGAGAAGTACCTGAGGCGAGGGGTGACCGCTCTTCGAGAAATGGGCCATCAGGTAAATGAGATGTGTTTGGATGTTTCTGCTGTTCTAGAATAACACTAACAGAAAGAAAAGCTGTAAGTAACTAAAAGAAAAAGGAAAAAGAAATTCATTTTGGCATGGTAGTAAAAAATACATAGTTATAATGCTACTTTTCGTAGCATACATAGTATTTCATTCCTCTTAATTAGTATAGAGTATAAAAGTCAACATATGGATGTCGAACTAGTTAGAAAACATATAGCATATAGTGTAGCAGGCCTAAATGATTCAGAAGCAGAGAATAGTTCAATAATACCCAGAAGTTAGCTTCTGAATATGTGGTAGCTTGACAAGACAACAGAACTGAGTGCAAAAATTTAGAAATGTAAACTCAATCCATAATGTGAAAGAGAGATATGTAACATCAAAGAGGAGGCAACATCATCAGATCAGGAAATAGACGCTAAAATGTCCTTAGTAAACCAAGCAATTGTCCCAAACCATGCAAACCAATGAAGAAAATAAGAAGTAAACTATGTACAACATAGGGAAAAGGGGGCTTGGCATCAAATAATATTTATAAGACAGAAATGCAACAACAATGTTAGGCCATCATAATAAAAGGGAAACGCCATAAATAGTACCTTAACTTCGAGGAAGAGGTTTAATTTTTAACTATATGGTCGGCAAGAAGAAAAAAATGACAAATGAGATATTTTTTTATTTTTTTCAACAATATGACTTAAGCTAGAGCAGCTATCTATCTTATACGGTAGTCGCTTTAATACTTCACTCTAACATTCTCCTTCTCCATGGACAATGCATATATACCTACATATACCTAAACATGAGAGCAACTAAATCATACATACAAAATAGAGAAATGATCGGTATGATAAATTTGAGAAACGTCGAAAGCTAGATCTTCATAAAAATCAAATAATTTTAGGACATTGATCATCAATAGTTTTATTAATAACTTTTTAGATCGAAAAGATGTGATCCTTAATTTTCAATCTTCATATCTTTAAATTAATAGCAGCAAAACCATCCAACCAAAGATCACGTAAAATCTTTTGAGCGCCAGAAATAGGGAAAGATATTCTTACTGAGAATGATTGACACCTTATGTTGCAAAGTAATTAGCTCAATGCATAAATAAGCGATGGGCGAGCATTAACACATTTTCAAAAAGGCGCAAAATTCTCATACCAAATGAAGGAATTTTAATTTATAACAAATAAAATCAAAAGATCGAAAACTATATAACTGAATTAGCTGAAACCTTCAAGGCATCAGTATTGTTACCTTAAACTTGATAGCAATGAGGCAAGGATTTCAGAACTCAAGACAAAGATGTTCATAGAGAATAGAGAGAACCGGTATTTAAAGAGAAAAAAAAAAAAAAACTATTCACCGCTAAGGAACATTAAAGTGGACCCACGTCAACATGACGTGGACACGTACGTGTGCACAATTTTTTGAACATTTCAAGGCGCACACTCTAAAATCATTATTGTCTCCAACAACATACAGATTCTTGTAACTTGAAATTCATTTCAAAGCATAAACTGATTCATCTCCTAATTCACTGAATAAACCTTATTCAAGATGACATGAATGAAGCCATCATTGTGGATGTCAGGCAAGTCACCCTCAGTCTTTATTTCTCAAACAACTTGCAGATCCTTATAAAAAAAATTCACAAACTAATACCTATCTGGTTATTAACTTCCCATTTCTGGTTCAAGACAATGTCAAAGAAACCGTCATCTGAAGATACAGCACAAAAACACAAGTGTACAAGACATTTACGGTTCACCCTGCCAAATTGGGAAATTTGAAATGAGATTTAAAGTATCTAGAGTAAATCTATGCATGACACCTGAGTGAGCATCGCTGGTACATATTTTTATATTTATAGGGAAGAAAGTTATCCCACCCATTGACACTTAGCAGTCTAAACTAAGTTTACTATCAACATAACCTGAGTGAACTTTCCACTCAGTTGCCACGTTTCTTAATGGAGTAACATTTTGTTACATAGAATTGACCTAAGAATCTGTTAGATTGTACCTTGAACACATAACAGATTAAATGTTATATATATACACACATTAGATTTGTATGAAAATATATATTAGTACATGAGTATAAAATAATATTCTAGATATACAAGAATCAAAGTGATACTAACCGAGAATGCAATGATAGTGAAAATTTTCCTTCAAAATGTATAGGAGCAATACATACTTGAAAAAGCAAACAGTGGGTTGTCTTCTTTTGTAATTTCGACCTTGTTCCAGCTTGGAATATGCTCTTATACCCAAAGACACATAACCATCATTTGTTACCAAATAGAGCATTTGCCTTCCACTCGCCTTTATCTCTATGAAAGCAAGGAACAAATACTCAACAAAATCCATAGTCAACACTGTCATAAACTTGTATCTGTCTCTACCCTGCATTGCAGCTATCCTTTTCAGGCCCTTCTCAATTCCCATGCCTGCAGAACTGGATGGTGAGACATCCTGATCCTGCTGAATACAATGAAGTAAGTGTTGTTAACAAAACATGCTTTGACCTCTTACCCCTTCAGTAAAATTAGCAAACAGATTATGATCATCCTCAAATATAGCAACAACACCATCAAGAAGAAGAACATCCTGCAGGAGCATTTATGCCGCAAAACAAACAATATTTATATTTCACCAAAGAACCCTTTAAATGCAATATATATACATATATATTGGCAAATTGTAATCTTCCAACAATTCAGCACAGAACATCCAATTCAAGAAAATGAAAGTTAGTGTTTTAAAACAGTACGCACATTTCATAAGCTAACCATTTAGAAATTGTCGAAAAGAAAATTCCTCCAAACAGGCTAAGAACTTCAAAAAGAAATCAAACTACATTGTTTGAAATTGAATACCAACTTAATAGACATACANCCCAGAATTTTTTAGCATGTTTGTTTATGAAATTTTTTTTGTTTTGTTTAGATTTTTTTGGTTTGATTTGGTTAATTTTGAAAAACATGGTATAGTTAGGTGTTAGTGAGTATATTAAAATAATATTTAAAATAAAATAATTAAAATTGATTTGATGTAAAAGTAGGAGATTGATGATTTGAAGTGATACTTAGTTAAAATAATGTGAGTGTATGAATAGTGAATTAAGGTGGTGTGGTGTGTATGAATAATTGATTGATATTATTTTATATTGATAATTTTGATGATAGTGGGGTTGAGTTAAAGTTGAGTTAAAAAATATGGTTGAGTTAAAATGTTGGAATTTTTTTGAAAATTCTTGTAAAAAACATGCTTAAACGTCACTCACCAGGCCAACTTGTCCATAATTATCAATTAACAATTCAACACTTTTTTTTTTTATTTTACTATTAGTTTTGTATAATATCATTCTACAATTTTTAATGGTCCATATAAGACTTCAACTCTCTTTTATTTCCCAGGCTAGGGCTAGCCTGGTATTTTTTGACCGAAAATCGAAAAACGAACCGAACCGAATCGTCTTATGTGTAACGGTAACTGAAAATCGGTTACCAAAATATTATCGGTTTGGTATCGGTTCTGAATCCATTATGTCATGTCTTTTGCCCCCTCTCAACTAATTTTCTGGTTTCGCCATGATACAATGTAGTATAAGACCAAAAGTCGACTAATTTATAAGGCATGTAAATATCACAACGTAGGCATGGCAATCTTGATTAATTTTTTACATGATTTTATATGTTATCTACACTGTTTCTAGAGAAATTTCTCAAGTCATTCACAAAAAGGAATACACATTTAATGGAAACCATAACAAAGTAGCAAATAGGACATCAAAATTCAAGGCAAAAACATCAAAAGGAGGGCAAATGAAATAACGTCTTGAGCTCAGTGTTCGATGGCAAAATACTTGCTCGAGTTCTGTTTCAAACTCAAGGATTTCCTTCATCCTGGAAATCAACAGAGAACATAACGCCAAAAACATAGATGCACAATTCTACAGAAAAAATTAAAACCATCACATAAGAAGTTAGAACATGGAGAGTCCCTTTTAAAAATACTAATTGCGACAGAACCTTTAAATTCGGAAAACATTGAATGGAACACAAAATATTTGAAACAGGTAGCAAACACTCAATCTTACATCTCCCTTGCGTGAATTAATTACATGCTGTTAATTACCTGAAGTGCTAAAGAGGAGAAGAAAAAACATACCAATTTTGAGATTGCTGGTATTATTTAAGACGCCGTAAACGATTGAAAATCAAAATGTATGCTTTTAGCAGCGGGCGCGCGAAGAAGAATCCTCGCCCCCAGCGGTGGTCAACTTGAATCATGTGGCGGAGCAAATCCAGAATACTTATTCCCTCGAATTTCCTTATCACCGGGCACTATAATCCAAGGTTTAAGAAACAAAAAAGAGTTTGCAATTTAAGAACTGTTATCATCGACTTCCTTTGAATCGGCCCTTATAATTTCTTTTATTTTTTAAAATATTTTTTTTTTGTTTTAAAATAAAATTTATGTATATATAACTAAAAAGTAAATATTTTTTACGACATACAAATATTATTAACACTTTGATGTACAAAATTTGAAGACATTTAATTTTATTAATTTTATGTATAATTATATGACATAAAACAAAAACAATAAATATACAATTTAAAAATTAAAATTAATTCATTGACTCGATTGAACCATGACCCGTGATATGCTCGAGTCCCCTCATTTACCCCTTAACCGCCAAAAGCTTTCCTCATTAACGGTAAGAGCATCTCCAATGTTCCACTTTGAACATTAATTAAATTTGAACACATGTCAAATGATGAATGAAATGTAAATCCATGTAATATGAATGTCAAAAGAGAAGAGTTTAATTTGGAATACACATCTCCAATGCATCCCTTTCAAAACCTTAAAATATGTTAGATTTTTTGATGAGTTGGCTTTCAAACACTCTTTGGAAAACTAGAAAGTGGGCTTCACACTTTGGATATTTATTGTCTCCATGTCAGCATAAAAGAGTCCATAACATTATGGATTGGAGAGTAATTTTTGTAATCACTTGATGATGTGGTTAACATTTTATTAAGTCAACATCTCACATGCTCTAAGTAAGAATTTGGTAATGTTATTATCTTTTATTCCTCTTACAGTGTCATTCTATTTTCTGTTGCCTAAATTTAGGAGGACTCATATTCATTTCGTGAAAATATATGAACTTTTTTGTTTAGTTCAAGAAACTGGAGCTGTGTATATCCGCTTGTGTGTTCACTCGATTTTAGAACCGTCTGTCCTACTATTTTTTGTTTAGTTCAAAAAGCCATCCCTCTTTCCTATTTCGTATTTTCAATTGATCTATTGATTTCATTGTGAACATAGTTTGCAATAATCGAATGGTTTTCCATTTTGTGAATGCTCGGTTTACTAGTTCATTAATTTCAATAAGGATAGATGCAATCTTTTTGCTTGTTTCAAGAATCATTGGTCAAGATGATTTTGTGCTGTACTCGTGGAAGATTATAAAATGAAATGCAAATTCATTGTGATGGATGTATGCTTTTCGAGCATTTCATCATCGGTAACTAATGAAAAGAGTTTATGGTTCAGTTCATTTCTTCTTTTATATGTTCTTCAAGTGGGCCGCGCGAGTTTCTTTGATCTCGATTTTACATTTTGATCGGTTTTCGTTTTCCCGTTTTATCTATTTTAGTCATATATACATTGCATAAGAGAGACGCTCTATGTTCTCGGCAATGTATCAATTACTTTATACATTGTCAATAAACTACCTCTCCTTTTTCATTTGCCTTAACTTCTTATGTTGTTTTAAGTGTGTTTTGCGTGTTGTCGTCCATCCAATCTTATTTCTCTTGTTTTGAGGAATTAATTTCTCTAGGTGGTTCTAATTATTTTTAATCTTGTTCTGATAAGTATGCCAGCCTCACAAAATTCTCTTTTATTGCAGATTGAAGATTCCATCACTTGGTTGCCTAAAATTCAGGTATATCGTGGTCAGGTGATATAAAGTTGGTTTGATGTTGCCAGCCGCAAGGACAAATCACCATTATGTGGTTCATACAGAAATGCCATGGGGTTATATCTTTATAGTGCTAATCAATATATCTTCAAGTTTATTTTCCTATTATATAATCCATTGATTTTGTGTTCCATTGAAAATTATATTTTGTGCATTTGTGCTGCACTAATGAGATTTTGATATTATTTATACTATGGCAGGTGATCACAAGTTCTTGTTCATAGAGGAAAGATATCAGAGATTCAAAAAATTGCGAAAATTCTATGCCCACATTTCTTGAGCAATACACCTTATATAGCAACCAGATTCACTTGTGACTTGTTTGATACACACTGTAGATAAAACATTTATTTCTTGAACATGTGTTCACCCGATCTTGGATCTTCTCCGAGCCGGTTTTGAGTTTACTAACGCTATTCGGAGGCTTGACAACCTGTTTTACGGATTAAACGTCAGTCTTGAGGTTGAACAGAGGTTGAACACACTTAAATCTTGCTTCGAATATTCAAGAACCCCGAGCTCTTGAACTTGAATATGAATTGTGATGTGTGTTTTTTGGCTTTAGAGAGAATCCCTGATATATGGGTGTAGGAGAGAAACCCTACCAAATTTAAGAATCGTAGACGCGATTTGATTGTCAATGATGATTCACATAAGATCTTTTGTATTTACTTGAATCTCCTAAGATCTTCTAGAAGATATGTGATTTATTTACCAAGAAATAAGATTTGACACTTTACATTATTTGATTGACTGATAATTAAAATATCAAAATATCAATTAATTAACTACTTAATATTAGGAATTAAATTTATGTAGATTCCCAAAATATAAATAGAAAATATGACTTGATTATAAATATATTAATTTCTATGCGACGCCATTTGATTGACCGCAATTTCGATGTATCTACAAATGCTTTCTCGAGACTTATTAACGGATGACGTCTTAAAGTGAATGAGTCGCGACATAATTCGAATGGGCTTTTGAATAATACGTAAACCATAAGCCTAGATTCGAAAAGATCATTGGCCCATCACATTCTCCTAAAAGCTGGGCTTGAAAATTGGACTAAAAAGTCCTTCAGCAACATGGATTTTTTTTTTTTTTTTTTTTTTANCAAATCCGCGGCCAACAAAAGAAGTTTGTTGCCAAAATAATTGACAGTAGCAATAAAATTGATAAACTAAATAAACTCTTTCTAATCAACCACCCTGAAGTCAGTAGGCAATGGATTTCATGCCAACCTCAACCATTCGAAAGGCGAGAAATTATTACCAAACACCAAGATTTAAAGAGCTTTAATCATAATCTCAACTTTATAACGAAATTTACCTTTTTTCTTTTATTGTGGAAAACTACAAGTCTGTAACAAAAACGTGAAAAACATCAACTCTTTAGTCTGTTTCCTTTTCTCATCAAACTCCTTGGTCCTATTTGGAGATTCATCAGAATAATAGCAACAACAAATATTTTCTTTCCCAACTCTCGATCGTAAAGGAAAGAAACTTCTAGCTTTGGACTTTAAATCCTTCTCCTAATCAAACTCTGAGTCCTCTCCTTCACAGGATACACGTGCTTTCGAGCATCTACAAAAGGAGCATCATCTGCACTTATTTTCTCACATTCGAAGATCGCAGAGTAGGTTGTTCTTAGGCATTGGCTTAATTTCTCAACCCTTATTTATAATCTCTATAACTTACCGAAAGTCTTGATTTGCTTATGGCCTTCTTT